GTCCCTGTAGCGCCCCGGCAGCAGCGTTTTCATGGTGGTGGGGGCTGGCGCCGCGCTGCACGCAGGTGTGTCTGAATGGCGGACATGGTTTTTTGTTTCTGAAACAGAGCGGTTGCTGCAGGAATAGTCACGCGTGCGATAGTTGGATGGGACGGTTGTCAGGACGCGTATCGGACGGTGGTACATGCGGCGGATGTTTCCAAAACAACCACCGGCCGACGCGTAGCGGCCGCCTTTAAAATATGATCACAAATTTGAAAAAGTTCAATATTTTGTGGATTTGAAAAGTTCATGAACTTGAAAAAGTTCACGGATTTGAAAAAAGTCCATGCATTCGAAAAATAGTTTTCTGAGGGAGCATTCAAAAAATATTTGCAGAATTTTAAAAGTTCATAGAATTCAGAAAATTTCGTGCATTTGTCAAAATCATGGATTTGAAAAAGTTCACAGATTTGAAAAAAGTTCATGCATTTGAAAAAAAATCTTGGATTTGAAAAAAGTTCATGCATTTGAAAAAAGTAATACATTCAAAAAATATTCACTGGATTTGAAAAAAGATCATGGATTTAAAAACAGTTCACGATTTGTTCCTTGTGAAAAAAGGAAAATCAAAATAGAAAATAAAGAATACGAAAAATTGTAGAAGCTTCCCAAAACCAACTGGGAAAACATTTATGAAAAAAGAAAAGTGACTGTTATATTGGCCAGGCCATTCACGTGCGATGCATGTGTTTCGGAATGGCCGAATTCCTGTCGAGAAGTAAAGAAAAAAGCTAAATGGTTTGAGCCCAAAATGGAGTGGAGGTGTGCACCGGTTTAGGCCCTGCTTGGATTGTCGGTTTGCTCCTAAATACCCCCGTAATCAAAACAGACCTTCAGCCGTCGTTTTCAAATTGGGCGGAAATAACGCAGCGGCCGGTAAAATACACCTGTAGATTAAATCCGGGTGTATAAATTTACACCCAATCCAAGCGGGGCCTTACAGAAAATAGGATTTTAGGAGCATTGAAGTGGGCCAGCCCCTTTAGCATGGTTTTGGATATTCCCGTTTAGGAAGCCTGAGGAAGGTTTCCCTCAAAAAAAAAAAAGGAAGCCTGAGGAAGGTTCTGTGGGTGTTTCCAGTTTGGCGCTTCATGCGCCCACTTGTATGCATTTTGAAAACAGGTACACACAGCCCTCTCGCGCTGGACTGACACAACTCCCCTTTCGTCTTTATTTTTTTTACAGTAAATAAAAAAAGCTAAATGGTACTCCGGACATAAAGTTGAGTGGGGATGTGCACGGGTTAACAGAATAGGATTTTGGGAGCATTGAAGCGGGTCGGTCCATTTAGCACGTTTTTGGGTACTCCGGTTTAGGTAGTCCGAGGAAGGTTCTGTGGGTGTTTTCTATTTGGCGCTTCATGCGCCCGTTTGTATGCAATTTGCAAACGGGTGCACACAGCCCTCCTGCAATGGGCCGGCCCAACTCCTCTTTTGTTATCTGTTTCTTATAACGCAAAAAAGCACGCATGTGGAGTGAATCAAACCAGGGACGTCCCGCATCAAGTTACGCTTGACTAACCACAATGCCTCTTAGCCCGATCTGATAAGTTACATAACTTTCCTTCTTTTCATTTCCCGTTTTTCGTTTTCTGTTTTTCCATCTTCCTTATTTGATGAAAAAAATCAACTTGTAAACTTTTTTTAAATCAATGACTTTTTCAATTGATGATTTTTTTCAATATCGATGAACTTTTTTTGAAAATCGATGAACTTTTTTTGAAATTCGATGTTTTTCCCAAAATTGATGATTTGTTTTTTCACAATTTATGAAATTTTCAAATTCGATGAACAGTTTTTTTAGAAATTTATTCAGATCCAAGTTTTTCAAAATTTATTCAAAATTCGATGGGGAACTTTATTCAAAAATTTTCAGATCCAAGTTTTTGAAACAAAGTGAATGAGCCAGTTTTTTTTAGAAATGCTAACGCGACAGTTGGTTGAAAAAAGGGATCAATGCTACAGGCGAGCTGTCCACAGAAAAAGCGCTACAGCCGAGTGATGCTACAGGCTGCTGTAGTTCGTTGTGCTATCAAACTGTGCTGCGAACTAAGCGTCAAGCCAGGAGGAATGTTGGGCTGGCCCAACTAACCGGCTACGTGTGCGCCGGTGTGCGAACGGGCGCTTGAAGCGTGGATTAGGAGCACCCGGTTCTGTGTCCTACTTCTTAAAAAAAAAGGTTGTGCGACCTTTTTCTTTGAATTTCTTTTAGTCGGTTTTCTATTTTCCCTTTGGTTTTTATTTTTTCTTTTTCTTTTTTATGTTTCCTTTCTTAACTTTTTTTTTGCGGGATTCTTAACTTATTTTCAAATACATTATTTTTCAAATACATGATTTTTTAAACCAAGTTTCAACCAGTTTCAGTGTTATAATTTTATTAAGCAATTTTTCAACCAGGACCAGCAACAACAGAAACACCGATGAAGTTTAAGGTGGTAGTCCGGGCACCTCCTTCTTCCAGACTAATAGCAAACCACCCTTTCTTCCCTCAAGACTCAGAGCAACGATGATCATATGATCCATATACCGTTTCTTCATCAAACCTTCTGCCCCTTCTTCATCCAAATGCGATTCGGAGAGGAAAACCCCATTTGGTTCATGGCGCCTCTGAATATTTAGAAGCGAACGGACTCTCGGGGCTCCTAAGATGCCCCGACAATTTTTCCAACTTAATACAAGCTTCATTGTTCCCGGCTATGATTACTTCAACAATAATCTTCCGAACATCCAAAAAACACCAGCCAAACCGACGTACGTCCAGACCCTAATTCGCAAGGAGTAGAGTGGACGGAGATCAAGACTCTGCAAACCTTGCTGAGAGGGCGGCAAGCACCGCAGGATAGAAAAACCGATCGCCGGCGAAACTAACGTCGGGACAAAACACCGATCGCTGCAGAAGACAACGTTGGGACGGAAAACTTGCACGATCTCCAGGAACTTCCAATCTGATCAGCAGCCAAGATGATGATGATGATGATGATGATGATGATGATTATTGTTGCTGCTGCTGCTGCTGCGGGGCCAGCAGGCAAGATTCCAATGCATAGACACCATATATAAGAGCCCAACGTAACGACGCCGGGATGTAGACCTCAGGACTGATGAAAGAAAAAACGCTTCGTCGTCGCGCGCGCACTGTGATTGGTTAGCTCGAACACGCCCGCGTAACACGCACAGACGCGAGACACGGCGAGACCTGTGTTTGAGTTGAAGCCGGACAAGGAGTCGTGGTTTCGTTCCAACAGACTTGGGGCCCGACCCCGACCCCGACCCCGACCCCGGCTCCAATTCAACAGAGGCGGAAACCCTTGCCTTGTTATAACCCCGCCTCGCCTGGCCCACGACGCTCCGTCCAACTCCACAACCCGCCTGCGTCTGCGTGTGCATGCTTGCGTAATTCCATGGAGCCGGACGAACAGAAGAAGTTGGATGAGGAGGAGGAACAGAGGAAGCTGGACGAGGAGGAGGAGGAACGGGCAGAGATCGAGACAGGTGGAACGCCCTTGTCATATCAAGAATGAAGCTGATGCGGGAGCTGGGGCAGCCCTGCGAAGTCTGGCGCCGCGAGTGGCGCATCGATGCCCGCCTTCTCTTCAACCGCCACAACAACTGCGACAAGATCGACTGGGGAGACGGGTAGGCACTGCTATTATTCTTAAGTTGTACGTACTAAACCACCGACACTTGTTTTAAGACGGAGGAGAGTATCTCGTGTACACTTTAATATTTCAACTGCGTACTTTATTAAAGTAAACAATTGTCCTATTTTGGGGCACCATCCGTCTTGGTGGATCGTTGTCCTCCCGCGTCATGCATTCTAGCTCTAGACCGTGCGAATAATCTCTGGGTACATGCAATTTAGTTAGTGCTCAACAATCCATTACTTGGATGACCTTTTTTTGTAGATCCTTATCTTAATATTATGGCCAAGTGTAATTTTTTTCCTTTTCTTTTTTCATTTTAGGCATGTTGATCCGGAGATTTTGCTCGAGAGAGAAAGGGCCTTCTGGAGAATTGCCATGGAATACCGGAGAGCTCAAAACATGGTGATGAATTGTTTCCATCATTGAAATTCTTTCATTTACGACGAAATGAACATTGCCTATCAACTAACATGGGCCTTGCTTGCCTATCAACTAGAACGTATAGCTGAAATAAACTGCGATCAGGTTCCATGTTTAACTTCCTGTCTCGTAGATTCTTACTAATCAATAATTTCATTTTACCAGGACGCTGAGTATGATTTGATTCCTAGCAATATGACCTTATCTCCTATAATGTCGGAGAGTGGCTTCTGGTACCATGGAAATCTGGTGGGCTCTCCTATAATGTCCAAGAGAGAATTTCCTATTCTGAGGGGTGCAACAATGTTTTTTCCTTGAGCTCAGCCGTACTCGACAAAAGACTTACGATGTGACAGCCTGTATTGCACTTGGTACGCCCTTCTCGTTTGTATGCCATCAAGCAAAGTTATTCACTAGTCTTTAGTAACTAGGAACGAATCTGATATGTCTTCGATCTGAAGACAACAACCAATGAAATTAGCAGGAATAAGTGAACGACTAACTTTCGAGTTTATTTACAACATTATAGGCCGGTCCATGTTAGTTCACAACTAGTCCAAGCATGTACTCCCTCTGTAAACTAATATAAGAGTGTTTAGATCACTACTTTAGTATTCTAAATGCTCTTATATTAGTTTACGGAGGGAGTAGTAAATAGCAATGCTGAGTGTTAAACTTTATGTCTCTTGCAGATCAAACAAAGTCTGATATAAACGATTGCATGTGTTATTTACGTTGTACATATATGTACAATTAGTTAGTAGCTTAACTTGGGCAGATAATTAACAGTGCACGGTTATTTACATTGTACAGTACATGTACAATTAGTTAGTAAGTTTAACTTCAGCAGATAATTAACAGTTTGCACTCATTAGCCTTATGGTGGCAGGAGCTGCTAGCTGCTGCTCATGGTGCGCCAAACTGACAGCGCGATCCCCACCAGCACCACCACCGCGGCCGCCATGTTCGTCACCAGCTCCGTCGTCGGCGGCGTCCCTGGATCCTCGCTCGCCGGCAGCAGCTTTGGTGACACGTCCCAATCCTCGTGCTCAGTCGGCTGTCTTCCACCGTTCGCCGCCTCCCTCGCTTTCTTGTCCTCCATCCTCTTCTCCTCTTGCTTCTTCATCTTCTCCAGCAGTGGCAACCTTACCTTGCCGTCTTCGTCTTGCACCTTGCGATGCTTCTTCTTCGTCTTCGCCTTTGCTTCCGGGAGACGATGACTAGGCGGCCGTGGTGGTGGTGGTGGTGGAGGCGGCGATGGAGATGAGACGCCGATTGGTATATCTGACAGCGGGGGTGACTTAGGCTGAGGCAGAGTGGCTGTACTCTGTTTTGGAGGTGGCAATGGCGGTGGCCCGTGCTCCGGCTCGGCCGTCCTTGGGCCAGGAACGATCGCCGGAGGTATCCAGGGCTTCCGTTCGGCGGTGGCGGGAGGCTTTGTTAATGTGGGCTCGGGAGGGGTGTCTCGAGCGTGATCTGAATGCCGCCACGGCAGCCAGAGCTTTGGGTCGAAGAAAGTGGGCCTCGCCGGAGGAGGAGGAGGGGGTGGTGGTGGAAACGACGGTAATCGTGCACGTTCACGTGGTGGCGGAGGTGGCGGTGGACGCGACGGCAATGGTGCCGGTGCCGGCTCCTGTGGTGGAGGCGGCGGCGGTTCCTTTGGCTCGAAAAAGCTGGGGGGCCTAGACGAGAACGGAGGAAGTGGACGTGACACTGGAGGCGGTGGTGGGGGCAGCGGTGGTCGGAGCTTTGGCTCGAAAGCAGTGGATTTCGCCGGCGGCGGTTCCTTTGG